CTCCACATCCAACACTTCTATTTATACACAAAAATATACCCGTTGTAAGCACGCTCCTGACGTCATGGCTTACATAAGCACGCTCCTGATGTCTTGTAGGAATCATCATTTGAGGGGTGCAAGAGAAATAGTGTCTGTGCGGGGAGCAAATATTCAGGCAAGCCCGCACTCCTTTCTTCCAAGCTCCGCTTCTATCCGTTCACCTGCGAGCAAATAACAGTGAGCTACCCGGCGGTGTGTGGCCGGAAAAACCCTCCGACGATCAAGTTAGCGCACCTTAGGATAGAGAGAGAGAGAGAGGAGTGTTTGAGTGTAAGAATTTCCTTACAAAGTGTTCCTGTCCCGCGTATGGGGGGCGCAGACATGCTTATATACCCTTCTGCGCCCCAAATCTACTCTCATTGGTCTCTCGACACGTGGCTCTGTTATCCCATCTGTCAGCACAAATCTTGCTATACATCACCTAACCTAACTGCCAGCCCACTCTGCTGGGAGCACGGCAGCCGGGCAACATTATCTCGGCTATCAACGGCCATATCGAACATGCCCAAGTACAGTTGATGTCATAGTTTCCTACTACCGGGCTTAATTCCAGCCGTGCTCAACTGTATTCCGGCGAAGCTGAGCTGGAGATTGGTGACGCCGGTCAGCCAAAGACCTTCTCGGCCAAGCTCCAAGCACAGGCCTTCCTACCGGGTTAAGGTGCGTGCATTACAACCTTGCAACGCGTGAGCCGGGGAGCCTCATCTAGGCTGTTCCTCCACCTGTCCGGCCTTCGCGGAACCGAGATCAGATAACTCGGTTCCACGTGGGCTTTGCCATTACCGAGCAATATCACGGCCTGATCTTGGAGCCCAATACCTCGGCCCAAATCTGCCCGGCTAACGTCACGGCCCAATCTCAGATCATAAATCTCCCTCTCAATAATATATATATATATATAAAATAAGAAAAAAAGAAAGAAAAGAAAGAAAAAAAAAACTGAAAAAAAAAGAGCCGGACCGGTTCGATCAACCCGTGACTGGGTCAACCGGTTCACCGGTTTAACCGGTGGGTTCACCGGTTTTCAATAAATGGTCTGGTTTTTGCAATTGGCCGGTTTAAGAGGGTTAACCGGACCGGAACCCCATCCGGTCACCGGTTGAACCGGCCAGTCCAGTCCGGGTTTCAAAACCTTAATTAGTAGTTGGTTTTAGATTTAGAGTATCGTCACATGGTATTCTAATAATATTGTGGTTGGTAAAAAAAGTAAAACACAAAAATTTATGTTGAGTGATTAAATAATGTAAAAAAATATGATAAATTATACAAAAATATTTTAGAGCTCTAATATCGGAGCTCTAATGGAAAGTGGACCCACTGTGATATAATATTTTAATGGGATTTTTATTGATAAGTCCAATTTAGAAGTGTTTTAACCCAATAAGTCCATGAAAGAATTTTTTAACCCATTTAGTCTCATGCATGTATAGTTTTATTCCATAAAGTCCATTTTCTTGATTTACACTATTTTCTTGGACACTTATGCCCTTATATTAAATTTTGATACCTTTATAAATATTTTTTGAACGGTTAGCAATTTAATGATGTGAACATTCATATTTTTAAATTCACATTGATAGGAATGTAAAATTGGCCCGTGGGCGGCCCGAAATCCGCCCGCGAGCCGGGGCGGGCACGGTTCGTTGACAATGTGAATATTCACATTGACATATTAACATTCACATTAATAGGAGTGAAAAATTGGTCCTCGTCCCGTGGCGGCGTGAAACCCGTTCGCGGCCCATGGGTGGCCCGGGACGGGCCCGATCCGGCCCATTGACAATGTGAATATTCACATTGACATGTTAACATTCACATTGATAAGAGTATAAAATTGGCCCGCGGCCCATGGGCGGCCAAAAGCCCGTCCTCGGTCCGGAGAGGGCCTGGCCCAGCCCGTTGACAATGTGAATATTCACATTGACATGTTAACATTCACATTGATAGGAGTGTAAAATTAGTCCGCGCCTCGTGGCTGCCCGAAACCCGCCCTCGGGCCGTGGGTGGCCCGGAGCGAGCCCGGCCTGGCCTGTTGACAATGTGAATATTCACATTGACATGTTAACATTCACATTGATAAGAGTATAAAATTGGCCAACAGCCTAGGGCGGGCCCGACCCGGCCGGGCCCGTTGACAATGTGAATATTCACATTGACATGTTAACATTCACATTAATAAGAGTGTAAAATTGGCCCCCGTTTCGTGGTGGCGCGAAACGTGCCCACGGCCCATGGGCGGCCCGGGGCAGGCCTGGTCCGCGCCCGTTGACAATGTGAATATTCACATTGACATGTTAACATTCACATTGATAAGAGTATAAAATTGGCATGTGGCCCATGGGCGGCCAAAAGCCCGCCCCCGGCCCGGGGCGGGCCCAGCCCGGCCCGTTGACAATGTGAATATGTGAATATTCACATTGATAAGAGTGTAAAATTGGCCCTCAGCCCGTGGGCGGCCCAAAGCCCGACTGAAGCCCGAGGAGGGCTTGGCCCGACCCGGGACAATGTGAATATTCACATTGACATGTTAACATTCACATTGATAGGAGTGTAAAATTAACCCGCGTCCCGTGGCTGCCCGAAACCCGCCCACGACCCGTGGGCGGCCCGGGCCGGGCCCGGCCCAGCCTGTTGACAATGTAAATGTTCACATTGACATGTTAACATTCACATTGATAAGAGTGTAAAATTGGCCCGTGACTCGTGAGCAGCCCGAAGCCCAACCTCGAGCCGGGGCGGGCCTGACCCGTTGGCAATGTGAATATTCATGTTGACATGTTAACATTCACATTGATAGGAGTGTAAAATTAGCCCACAGCCCGTGGGCGGCCCGAAGCCAGATCGCAGCCTGAGGCGGGCTTGGCCCGACCCGTGACAATGTGAATATTCACATTGACATGCTAACATTAACATTGATAGGAGTATAAAATTTGTCCGCTGCCCGAAGCTCGCCTGCGGCTCAGGGTATGCCCGGACCCAAACCCGGGCAGCCCATGGGACGCAAGTCAATTTTACACTCTTATCAATGTGAATGTTAACATGTCAATGTGAATATTCACATTATCAACAGGCTGGGCCGGGCCCACCTCGGGTCACCCACGGACCGTAGGCTGGTTTCGGGCAACCACAGGGCACGGGTTAATGTTACACTCTTATCAATGTGAATGCTAACATGTCAATGTGAATATTCACGTTGTCAACGGGCCGGACCCGCCCTGGCCCAGGGCCTGGCTTCAGGCTGCCCACGGGTCACGAGCCAATTTTGTACTGTTATCAATGTTAATGTTAATATGTCAATGTGAATATTCACACTGTCAACGGGCTGGGCCGGGCCTGCCCTGGGTAGCGGGGCGGGCTTCGGGCCGCCCACGGGTCACGGGCCAATTTTACACTCCTATCAATGTGAATGTTTATATGTCAATGTGAATATTCACATTGTCAACGAGTCGGGCCGGGCCGGGCTCGCCCCGGGCCACCCACGGGCTTCGGGTCGCCCATGGGACGCGAGTCAATTTTACACTGTTATCAATGTGAATGTTAACATGTCAATGTGAATATTCACATTGTCAACAGGCCGGACCGGGCCCGCCCTGGGCCGCTCACGGGCCGTGGGCTGGTTTCGGGCAGCCACGGAGCGCGGGCTAATTTTATACTCTTATCAATGTGAATGTTAACATGTCAATGTGAATATTTACATTATCAACGGGGTCGGGCCCGCCCAAGGCAGACCACGAGTCGCATGTGGGTTTCGGGCCGGCCACAGGCCGCGGGCTAATTTTATACTCCTATCAATGTGAATGTTAACATGTCAATGTGAATATTCACATTATCAACGGGCCGGAGAGAGAGAGAGAGAGAGAAATGGCAAAATTAGTGGAAGAGTTTTTGAGCCTTGAAGCCACACCAACATGGGCAGTGGCAACTGTATGCTTTGGTCTCATTTCAATCTCTTTAGTCATTGAGTATGCCCTTCTTCTCTTAGCCAAGGTATGCTCTGCTTAGCTATGCATGCATTCATGCTCTCCCTCTCTCTCCCTCTCTCTCTCTCTCTAGACATGAATATTAGATCACCCATCACCCCTCTCGTTAAGGATGGATCTAGTGAGCGGAGGAGGGCGATCACACTCTAAAAATTTTAAAAATGTCATATAATATATTAAAAAATTAAAATAATTGAAAATTATAAAGATTTGCACTTCAAACATGCTTTTATATTCCATAATGATAATTCTGAATCTGTCCCTACCTGCAGATATATATATATATATAAATGTTATATATATTTGGGGAAATTTCAGTACAGGTTAAGTTTCAAAAAACAATTACAAATAATAGATAAATTTTATAAATATTAACAATTATAATTATAATTTTATTCATGAATCTGTAATATTTTTTTGAAATTACCACTAAATAGTAATTTTCTTATATATAACGATACCAAGATATGTATGAGTATCAATGTATTTCGGTCAATATTGGGTAATAACGACATTGAAAGTCCAAAACCATGAATTCATAATTTATACATGTGATCTAGGAATCTAGCATTTATTTTATACATGGAAATGTATTGACATGTGAATTTATTGATATATTGGTGTTATTTTTTAAACTGAATCAGCACTTCAACAAAAAGCAGAGGAAGTCTCTCACTCAAGTTCTTGACAAGATAAAGTCAGGTGACCACAATAGTGCTATGATATTTACTAATGGGTACTTCCATTTTGTTTATTCAACGACGTTTTGACAGTTTTGAGCCATTGTGGCCACAACCCTCAAACATTTTCCTTGTTTATTTGATACACATAATTAGCAAATTTGTATGTATCCGAGTTTAGAAAAGCTTTTCGATTGCAAAAAAAATTAAAAATACTAATTCTTTATCTATCTCTGTAATGTATGCAGAGTTGATGTTGTTGGGTTTCATTTCTTTATTCTTGACTATTAGCCAAAAACCGATTGCAAAGATCTGTATTCCAACTAGTGTCGGCGAATCTTTTCTTCCATGCAAAACCATGACTAGCGATGGAGTGGAGGAATCCAAATGTGAAGAGCAGGTAATAATAAGCAAAGCTTTTAAATAATTGTATTTATGAGTGATATTTATCAAAAATTGAGTGACTTAGTTGTAAATTTTTAAAAAATTAGGTAACAGTATCAACTGATGTGTTGAGTTGTAAGGGGATCACTTTTTAAAACTTAAAAAACTATTAAAATGGATTTTATTTCTAAAAAGATCTTACTTTACCAATTTGTTTGAATTTTGATTGGCCACTATAGTACTTTCTCACCTTATATAAGTTTATCCTTTATTTTTATTTTATTTTTTTTTTATTTTTTCAGGGAAAGCTTTCATTGATGTCTAGAACAGGAATGCAACAACTCCAGATGTTAATCTTTGTGTTGGCCTTCTTCCATGTTTTCTCTTCATTCCTTACATTCAGTCTTGGACTTGCTAAGGTAAATATCTAGCCCATCCACACTTGTCCTCTTTGGTAATTTTATTCCATTCCTATCTTCCGTCAGTTATTTACTAAACTCATGTCATTTTTAAACAAATCTCTCAAATATGAGTTGTTTTGGACTTATTTGACAAATTCAAAGTCTTTTTTAAGGTGAGCTAGAAACAGAAATTCAAAAAATATTTTGAATTTGAAAAATAAATTCAAAATAACTCACATTTGAAAAATATTTTTTAAAATAGCATGCGTTAGGTAAAAGTTATATATACTATTTTCTCGTTTCAATTTTTTTGTACCAACCGACCAAGCTTTAGCTTATTTGGCTGCTTCTGTAAACTCTTATAAAGAGATTGCCTTACCAAAAACGATGTATGATTATTTTTATCTCATTATGAGGGTTGTTATTGAGTTGTTTATTTTTACTCATTATGGGTTATTTTTGTAGTTAGGCTTTGTGTAGACTCAATTCCGCAATGTAGAGAGTGAGTGTGCTTTACCGATGAGCTGCCTTGCTCCAGGAGATGAAGGCCAGCACAAGTAGCGAATGATGAGACTGCCCAACCGGGGTTTGGTCAAAAACCCCTCCGATAGTAAAGTCAAGCCAGAGAGAGAGAATAGGGAGGACGAGTGTATAGAGAGAGAGTCATCGAATTCGGATCCTTGTGAAAGGAGGTGAGGTTACCTTTTATAGGGGAGGCTAGCTTGCTTGCCAAGTTCATCTCTCTACCACCTATCCCTCTTTGTCGTTTAGCTAGGTCACTCCTCACTGGAGGAAAGTGATGAGTCATCCACAAGCTTGAGAAACCGTTCTGTTATCCGTGGGTGCCATGTGCCCTTCATTCACATGGCATTGAGCGTTATGTTAGGATTTAATTCACTTCGGAACGGATGAGTGACTTAGGATTAAACTCAATGACTTCCTATTTCAGAGTAGGAAAGGGTGTTAGGGCTAAACCTGTAGATCGGTCCACAATGGAGACGGGAAAGAGGACTAGGGCCGTACCTCTAGCTTGGCCCATATCGGAGTGGGGAATGGGACTAAGGCCATACCTTTATCTTGGCCCACAACAGAGTGGGGAAGGGTGCTAGGGCCTAGCTTAACCCACTTTGGAGTGGGGAAAGGGCCTACCTCTATCTCAGCCCATTTTGGAATGGGCATACCTCTTTGATTCAGGCTAAATTATGCACAAATGGGCTAGAGTATTTGTGCCCCTGCAGGCTTGTAGATATTTGTGATTAGATTTGAAACAATTATTTCAATATTTATAATTAATCTCTTATCGATTAAAAAAAAATATTTCCCTTTCCCACCTTCTCTTTTTTTTCAAGTTAGATTTGGTCGGATGGTCCCAATGTGTTTGACTTTATAAAAATTAAATTTGTAAAATTTATTATTAATTTTTTTTTAATTCAAGATGGTTAGTATAATTTATTGTATATAATGTATATATATATGTGCCCGGGCGCGATCCTTTACCTAGATATTTCGGAAGTATGTAAATTTTGGAACTATATTTGACAATTAATGCTTGCTTTATGATGTGAAATTTTTCAGATGAAAAGGTGGGAATCGTGGGAGGCAGAAACAAAAACAATGGAATATCAATTTTCAAATGGTAAGCTTTTATAATTAATGCTATGAATTTGGTCTGCCATACAAGCCTTTGTGGGACATTCTTTTACTTTATGTGAGTATACAACTACCATTCTTTAGTGTGTTTTCATTGAAAGTACAAAACTATATTATAATAACTAATTCAATAATTGATTAAAGAAAAAAGATTTTATTGAAAATAAATTAAGAATTTGCCTTTGTCATCTCAGCGTTTAGACTTGATAGGCTCATTTTAGAACCGATTTCGATAATCCAAATCATTCAATTTCTAGGATTTGTTGAGTAGAATATTCATGCAAAAAATTAAGATAATTAGATATCAATAGCTCTATGTTTAAATCATATATTTTTTTTAATACAAAAATGGATGACAAATATAATTCTAAGAATAGTTATTCATTTTTTATAATGCAAATTTGATCTAAACATATAGCTATTGATATCCGATCACTTTAATATTTTGTATAAATATTCTACTCAATGAGTCCTACAAAGTGAATGATTTGAATCACTCAAATTGATTCTAAAATGTGATTACCAAGCCCAAACGCTCTTTCAAATTGAAATGGCTAACTTGAGAGAAGCTGACAATTTTATTCTTTATGAGTTGCTTAATATATATAAGTTTATAGTGAAAGGGTTAACACAAAAAATAAAGATGTGCACTAATCTGAAAATGTGTCTTGACTTCAAATATATATATATATATATATATGAATTTGATATACCTTAATTATCTAAATGTTTTTTAGTTTTGTAAGTCTCTTGTTGGTATTGAAAACATGATTGGGGAAAAAATCAAATAAATTTCCAATTAGTTTCCATGGTATCTCATTTTCTTTAACCTTAATACTAATTTTGCTTGACTATTCATCTTAGATCCACAAAGGTTCCAACTCATTAATGAAACATCATTTGGGAGACAACATCTGAAATTTTGGAGTGAACACCGGTATCTTCGCTTACCGGTTAGTTTAACCACAAACCTCACTAGTCACTACCACCATTTCTAGTTCCTTTTGGCTTTGTTTGCTATTAGATAAACTAATTTCATCTTTGCTAATCTTATTTATAGGTTTGTTTCCTTCACCAGTTCTACAAATCTGTCTCCAAAGCAGACTATTTAACTCTTCGATATGGATTCATTACGGTATTCCAATAATTACTCAAACACAAATTTTACGCTATTTACTTAAAAATGAACACGAAATTAGTGTTGGTTATTATTGTCTCCTCTAGGCCCATTTTGCAAACGAAAGCAACTTTGACTTCCAAGAGTACTTAAGAAGAGCTTTGGAAAAGGACTTTGGAGTCCTGGTGGGAATAAGGTAAATAGAACCCATACAAAGAATGACATTCGATGATACAAACACTTACTCATTCACGATAAATCTTGATTTTGAAAGCAACGGTTTTTGAATGTTATTATTTTTTGGCAGCTTCTGGATTTGGATCTTTTCAGTAACTTTCATATTCCTAAATGCACACGGTAAGCCACTTTAGCCATTCTAGATTTTCTTTTAGAAGCGGTAAATTGAGGTAAAAAAACCCCGAGTAATGCTAACTCTTGCATTGATTTTTTTTGTAATCGCAACAGTGTTTTACAACTATTTCTGGCTTCCCTTCATTCCATTAGTGGTAAGTGAATTCACTTAAACAAAAAGTGCTTCTTGTAGAAGCAAAAGTGTGAAAAGTTGAAAGACTAATGTAATTATCATATAAATGTTTGAAATGCAGATGCTATTGATAGTTGGGACAAAGCTACAAAGTATAATAACACAGATGTGCTTAGATTCAAATGATAAATCAAATGTTGTTAGGGGAACCTTGCTTGTTAGGCCCAGTGATCACTTCTTCTGGTTTGGCCAACCAAAATTGCTCCTCCACCTTATGCACTTCATTTTATTTCAGGTGATCTTTCCTATCCTTAGTTTTGATTCAAACTAATCTGGATTGGTTTCCATTGTGTTTGGAAGTACTTTTGACCACAACCACTTTAGATTTACACTATTTATTTCAACAGAAAACATTTCAGAAAATATTTTTTCATTTGACCTTGAAATTAATGTGCTAATGGTTGTATTAGTAATAGTGTGGTGGCGGCGGTGGTGGATGTGATGGTGTGGTAGTATTGGTCAACTTTATTCAAGAAAATCTTTTGGAAGAATATCAAAAAAAGTGGAAAGTAGAAAAATAATTTCAAAGTGATGAAGGTACAAAATTTACGTGCACAATCAAATGCATAAATCACTTGTCCTTCCTTCACTTAGAATTTTTTTTTTCTACTCTCCTCTTTCAAAAAGTTTCACATTTTAAAAGTGGGAAACATTTTCTTTCAAAATAAATTTATTTTCTATTGATTACAAAAAAAAGTCTTTCAATGATTTTCATTTTTTTTGTTAAATATTACAAAATGTGAAAATAGTTTTTGTTGATATAAATGGAGTGTTAATATGTAGTGATTTGTCCTTGGAGTACTCCTTTTGTTTCAAGACCTGAAATGATTTTGAATTTTGTTTTTCAGAGCAAGAAAAGTAGCATTTTTTTTTTCTAAACATATATGTGTTTTGGGCTATGCAGAACTCCTTTCAATTGGCATTCTTTACATGGGCTTGGGTAAGCATCCTCAAGTTCACTACCTCTATCTCAGTCATATTGCAATGTTAGTAGTTTAATTTGCAAGAAATTCCATTGCTAACTTGTTTAATTTTATTATTAAACAGTTCAAATTTGGCTTAAGATCTTGCTTCCATAGAGAAACAGAGGACATTGTCATAAAGCTTGGAATGGGCTTGTTAGTTCACATCCTCTGTGGCTATGTCACACTGCCTCTATACGCTTTGGTCGCACAGGTAACACACTAATCATAAATATGGATACAGACACAAGATGCAAATTTTCAAAAATCAAAACATGAAATGGGTGAAAATATGGTATGAAAATATCACAACTTTTTTATTTTATTTTTTGTACTATGTATATAAATATTACATCCGTACATAATCAAAATTAATACTAAGTTCATATAAAAAAAAAAAAACACAATTTAAATTAGCTAGAGACAATTTTTGTTGTATTAGAGCATTTCCAATACCGTTATAAGCTAGTATCTCAAATTTTTAAATGTGGTTAGATCTATGTTGCATTATGGATACTGATTTTTTTTTTTTAATTCAATTCTTATATTTCCAAATATTAAAATACAAACCTCGAAACTTGTTTTGAAAAATTAAAATGAGAGTCGGCTATGTATCTGTTGTGTCCAATAAAAAAAAATTAAAAAATGGGCACGCCATGCGGCATGTTGACTGATGTCCCTGCATGTCCTTGTCCCATGCATGTTTAGCATTATTACAACACCTATTTTGAAGTGTCGATACTTTATAAATTACAATCAAGTTTGTCATACATGACTTGGATAGGGATAGAGGAAGAAGAAAAAAATCAAAGATTTCACGTAATACTTTTCATCCAAAAATCAATCTGATTAGGCTATCTATTCCTTGATCTCTAAGATATTTCATCATCCTAGGTCTTTTGCTTTTTTTTTTTTAATTCAATTCTTATATTTCCAAATATTAAAATACAAACCTCAAAATTTGTTTTGAAAAATTAAAATGAGAGTCGGCTGTGTATCTGTTGTGTCCAATAAAAAAAAATTAAAAAATGGGCACGCCATGCGGCATGTTGGACTAATGTCCCTGCATGTCCTTGTCCCATGCATGTTTAGCATTATTACAACACCTATTTTGAAGTGTCGATACTTTATAAATTACAATCAAGTTTGTCATACATGACTTGGATAGGGATAGAGGAAGAAGAAAAAAATCATACATGACTTGGATAGGGATAGAGGAAGAAGAAAAAAATCAAAGATTTCACGTAATACTTTTCATCCAAAAATCAATCTGATTAGGCTATCTATTCCTTGATCTCTAAGATATTTCATCATCCTAGGTCTTTTGCAAATTAATATATCAAATGTTTTTTGGAATCATTCTAAGTCAATTCTATTTTACAAGATTTGTGAAACCAATTATTTGACATGTGAAACAGATGGGTACATCGATAACAAAAGCAGCGTGCACAGAGGGAGTGGTAGATGGTCTAAAACAATGGAGAGCCAAGGCCAAGAAGAACATAGTTCTAAGGAACAACACCAACTTGGCACGACCCTCATTGGATGCTTCCATGGCTTCCCTTAACAATATTTCACCATCTTTCACTAACCTTGATGCTTCCTTCTTTGTAGAACTCGATAATCCATTCACCACCGATGGCGGTTTTGTTGCAGATAAAGTAGATAGCGAAGCAGAAATAGAAGAAGACAATTTAGTTGGACAACGAATGGAACAATATCAAAAGTTGGGGTCTTTTGAGGGTTTTGACATTTGCAAAACATCATGATTTTGACATTGTGTGAGTGTGTATGTGTTCTTGAGGGCAGAGTATGAGTATCTAATTATAAGAGATATTGTAGGTTCGCCTCCCCACCTCTGCAAAACACCAAGTATTTGCCTCTTAATTCAACTAACCCTTAACTTGGCTAAGCCTAGTTGGTTATATTGATTAATCTCTTCTCATAGTACTATTACTTGGAGAAAGAAACACATTTCTTATCTAATTTTCGACTTGTCAGACACAAAACGATGAGTTTCACATGGATTTATTAATATGAATTTCATTTTTTGGGTTTAATAATAATAAAATTTAGTGAGAAAATCGCTTATATATAACATGATATAGCAATTGCTTCATTTGTCACAATTTGAGCATTATCATGTCATACAAAAATAAAGAAATAAATAAAAGGACTTTGTCAGACAAAAAAAATAGAAGGATATTATTTGGATTCATAGCAACCCCGCTCCTAATGCCTCACCTTGTAAATAAATCAAAGGACTTTGTCATACAAAAAAATAGAAGGATATTATTTGGATCCATAGCAACCCCGCTCCTAATGCCTCACCTTGGCCTTTTAGTAATAAGCAAAAAAAAAAATAGTTTATAAGCTATACCAAAAAAATAAATAAATTTGGTGATATTTAAAATAAAATAAAAAAATATTGAATTCATTTTTTAATACTTTTTTAGTCCTTCTAGATTAGAGAACCTTAAAATATTTTTAAAAGTCTACTAAGGCTAAGTTTGGGAAGTCCCAAATAATCCATCTTTTTATCTTTTTATTTTTTTTCCATCACATCACCTCTCTACTTTTCTACACATCTTTTCGTAAAAAGACAAAGAGTGCACTTATTTAGGTCATTCCAAACAACCCCTAAATATTAAAAACAACCAATATGCTATTAGGCCCATCATGTTCTATACGAACAATTCTATTCAAAATCAAAATTGTAAACAAAGTTTTAACCATTCGCTTTGCACAAGACAATCTTATGACTTCAACCTTTGAATTGTACACCTTTGCAAGTGGTCTTGATCCCTTTAGCTATGCATGTTCCAAGTTCCAACTCCTCTTCCCCAGCGAAAATAAAGGCAATAAAAGGTCTTTATGACTCTTCTCTAATACTGTGTTTGGTTGAGGGATTTGAGTAGGGATTTGGAAAGTGAAAGGGAAAAGGTGTGTGAAACTATGTGAAATATAGATATATTTTTTTCACATTTCATCTATCTTTTTCATTTCCCTTTTCAAATCCCTCAACCAAACACAGCATAAGAGTGACAGCAAAATACCATGGAGTACCACCACCTCATCACAAATAACGTTTATCCTAGTAGTTGTTCTTTTAAATTTTACTTGGTCCATTTGGATAATTTGTAAGTTGTCAACCTCATGACTACAAAATGATCATTAAAACCTTCGGTTACTCTTTTTCATCACATAGCTTTTGAAATTATGAAACAAAATAAAAACATATTTTGAACCATTAGGACTATAGGAGAAACCACACAACCAAGGAAGCTTAAACCTGGGCATGCTTAACTACATCCAAGAAAAGAAGGCTCTCCTTCAGAAAAATAAAGGAGAATAGACACGAGACTTGAGAAATGCTCAAACACACCAGGTAAGCCATAGAGGCTAAGCATTTACCTCCTGATTGCCTACATTGTGGGATTTACGAATAACAATAAAAAATAGTGTTGAAATTTAATGATAACAAATATATATATATATATATATATACTACCATTTGGGAAACAAACAAACATAAAAAAACAAAACTAGAAACAATGCAGCCGTCAATTCAATTCAAAATTCAACCATCAATTCAATTCAAGAGTAAAGTTTTTACTGCTTGTTTGTTTACCAGATATAAGTCGACGTGGGATCAAATATAATATGAAATGGGTCCTATTTGTTTTTTTGTCTTTTCTATATTCTGTGTTTGGTTGCTCCGAATATGGAGAGTCCAGATAATATATGATGCAAAAGAGGGGATATGTAATATCACCCCTCATGGTATTGTATATCTCCCACCATTGGATATAACTCATCTTTCATCCAGAAGTTAAAAATAATCTATATCCTATCTTAACCAAACATAGTATAAGTGACCCTACAGTATATATAATATATCTCACCCTATAACATATTATATCACATCCTTATCCTTAGATATTACATATCATCCTCAAACTCTTATATCCAATCCGGACAATCAAATAGGACCTTAATGTATTAAAACTATGAACTAATGAACATATATCCAATCCAACTTATTGACAATGCTTCCTAAACAAAACAATCCAAGCTCATCTTCTTTCAATCAAATTCCCCAACATTCTTTTCTATTAAAATCAAAATTAAAAGTTAAAAAAAAAAATTACAACAAAAAATTATTAGGATCGAAATATGAAAAATTCTGACAGAATCGATTCTGTGCGAACTGGTTTCCGCAATAGAGTATAGAGGACCTTCGTGGACGAACGGTGGTGCACTGATGGGTGAAAGCTTGCTCAAGAAGCAGATGGTTAGGTTGCCCAATCGGGGTTCGGTCGGAAACCTCTCCGACGGTCGAGGTAGTACTGGAATCACATGGAGTGAAGGTAGAGAGAGAGTGCGTCTAGAGTCTCCAGAGATTGATCCCCCCAAAGGAGAGTGAGGTATAAGGATTGCTTGACTTGCTCACCAAATTCTCTCTTTGTCACCTGGCACTCAGCCGTTATGCTAGGTCGCTCCTCATTGGATAAGAGCAAAGAATTTGTTAAGTAATTCCATTATTTGCGGAGGATCATGCGCTCTTTCCATGTATTGGATGCGAGTTATTTTGCGCAATTGGATTGTACCGAACACTCTTATGGGTAGTTTAGCATATTGATTCAAGTTGGTCGTCCACCTTAGTTACACTCGACCCAAGTTTGTACTTGGGCTGCGTGGTTTGGACCACTCGGTCTATTAGGCTTAGGATCACACTTGGTCTTCATGTTTGGTCCCTTGGTGGTTCCCTAGTTCAAGTAAACGCTTGGTCCACATGGTTTGGGCCACTGGACATTAGCTCTGCCCAAACTTGCACTTGGGTTTGATGCCCTAATCTTGTAACGTTACTAGGCCCAAGTGCCACACTTGGACTTGTGGTCTTCTCCTTGTTTCACTTATGCTTGATGTAGAGTTGTAAATGACCCTCTTCATTTTCCCCCTAGCTCGTGCTCAAAGTCTTCGAGTATGAACTATGCTATTGGCCCGTTGCCTTGGTTGGGTTTGAACTTAGTTTTTTTTTTTTTCTTTTTTTCCCGGTCTTTTTATTTAGCTTTGAAACAGTATGCTCATTGCATGTGCTTGGTTTCATGAACTTGATGTTGACATTGTTCAACATTGATTGCCATGAGCCCACAAAATTTCTAATTCTTGACTACCAGATTTGTAATGGTAATGTTTACAAATTCAAATGCTTGGTCTTACATGGACTTGCTAGGTAGGCTCCAATATCCATCAAGTCCTTTACTTCTTCTAATTTGTATAAACAATCTTTTACTTTATATTAAAAAATGTCTGGAGTGCTTGCTTGGGCCATTATTTTTTACTTTCTTGGTTTGTAGTGCTTTATTGGAGTGGATTTGCAGCATGTCAATAAATTGTTTGTTGCTTGGCCTTCCGCGCAGGTCGGGGATTGGGCCGAATTTCAGCTCGGTGGTTTGATTCTCGTGTTGCCAGCTGCCCCCTTGTTTTCCTAACATGTTGACCACATACTTAAGCTTTGTTTGGTTGTTTTGCCCAACTCTTTTAAGCCTTTGCTCAAAATCAAATAAGAAGGGACCCATCTTTAGTGCCGACTAGTGGGATGTCCGTAGGTAGGGGTGAACATGGACCGGATTGGTTCGGATTGAGAGAAAACTAGGACCAATCCGTTGTCTACGGTTCCTAAAAAATTAAAACCAATCCAATCCGTTTAAATGGTGGAACCAATCCGAACCAATCCGTTGAAACACGGATTGGATCGGTTTAGGACCACGGATTTAAATAATTAAATAACAAAAAAAATATAGACATTACATTTCCATTCCAATAGCAACATAGCTGCTGAAAACTTGTAAATGAAAACAATATAATTAAACAATATCCATTCCAATAGCAGCCTGTAAACAAAATAAGTAAACAACATAACTTTGTTTACTACTGAAAAAAAACATAGATTTTCTTTAGTATTTTTGAATATTTTCTTACCTTACGGCATTATAAATATTCTTTACAGTTTTATGATTTGTGGTCTGGCCCGTCTGGGTCTTATAAAAGTTTTACTAAAAGTTACTTCATTTTTTTTTCACTTGGATAAATAATTCCAGTAACAAGTGAGCAACTGTTTCCTTCAGTATTTTGGCAACATCTTATTATTGTTATAGCTCTACAATTGGAACCATCAAGATTCCTGTGATTCAAACCCCACGCCACAAAAAAAGAAAAAAATCGAAGTTGGAACCATCAAGATTGGAAGATGAATCAATGGGATTCTTAGGAGATGCCTTTGATAAATTTTTTTGAACTATTTCATCTAGGATAATGTGAAGTAATAAGCACAAATTAAGCACATTAAAATGTTGCTGAATATAGAGAATGCTTTACACAAAGCTTTCTCTGCACCATCAAGCTGATTTTTGTCTCTGTAGCAACCTATTACATGTTACAAAATGCATTCTCTGTTTGTTTTTCTTTCTTTTCTTTATGTCTTTATGTTCAAAACACTAAGGAAAAGGGGCTTTTTGTTAATGGTTCTGAATTGATAACCTAGACAGATTGCATTGTTTGCATTGTAATTCAAACAAAATAGGGCTCTTCATTCACAATCTTACAACAGAAAATAGAGATGAAATCAGAAAAAATAAATAAAATCAGAAAACAGAAAATGGCCCACCTAAAAAATAGACCAAACTTAAGAAAAAATTCTAGTTTTACCCAGAATTTTTCCATCATTTCCAACATTACTCTATATAAACAAATGTCTTGAGTGCTTGCTTGGGCCATTATTTTTGACTTTCTTGATTTGTAGTGCTTTATTGGAGTGGATTTGCAGCATGTTGATAAATTGTTTGTTGCTCGGCCTTCCGCACAGGTCGGGGATTGGGCTGAATTTCAGCTCGGTGGTTTGATTCTCATGTTGCCAGCTGCCCCCTTGTTTT